GTCAGGGGTAGTTGTAACCAAACTCAAGCCTGACTACCACAACATCAGTCCGCATTGCCAGTTGCTCCATAGTAATAAGCTCACAATAGGCATAAGAACGCCAAGGGAAGAAGAAGACTGGTATTTCGAACTCTATAGGAAGTCGAACTCTTCTGAGATCAAAACCACAGAAGCATCAAAATTCAATAGGACCAGAACACCATAGGAAGTTGTACACTATAGTCACCAGAGCATCGTCCGGTAAAGAAACCCAACTTAAAAGAGAATATCCTAGCAGCTGGGTTAAGCCCTGGCTTTTTCTCTACGACTGTGGACATTCCTCTCCAACGGTATTCTTCGTCTGTCCCGTCTTCCCCGTTCACTCCAGTGACTGTCGTACTTTAACTTTCTTGTCTTGTCTTTGAGGACACCAAAAGCAACAGGCCACTATACGGACCAGACCAACATATGGACCATATCACTGGAACAAGAACGCCAACTAGGGACCAGAATATCCATAGTACCTCGAATTATAGGCTTCAGAAGAGAGTAATCAGTAGAACATCATAGGCACCCACGAGAACACCTTTGACACAAGAACGCCAGAAAAAAATAAATACCATTGGAACAAGAATACTGTTGGTACCAGAACACCATAAGCACTAGCATACCATAAGTACCAAAACACCATGAAAATCGAAACACTATCTGAAGCTGAACACTACAGTGACCAGAATAACTTAGGGACAAGAACAGTATAGAGTTCAGAATCTTGTAGGCACCGGAAAGCTGAGGTTCCAGTAAACTAAATAAGGTATTTGAACCACAGATACAAGACCATCATAGATGGTAAACGAGACACTTGCGCAACATTTGGGTATCTTATTGTGTAAAAGTTTCGCCAGCCAGTGGCTTTCTCAGTCTAATAAACAAAGAGGTGGACAATGAGGAGGAGTTTGAGGTAATCAGTCCCTCAGTCTGGAGTCGATGTCTTTAGTACATCAGTCTTAACAAAAGTGCAAGATGAGGTGGGGCAGTGGTAGAATCACCAGAGAGACGCTTAAGACGTTTCGGTCCGACTTGGACCAAAACGTCGTCTTAAGCTCCTCCTCCAATGCTCTTTTCTAGTGGAAGTAGGTTGTGCCAATAGGTAAGGCAAGCAGAATTATCTGCGTTGAAAACCCAAGATGCTGCTGTGTCAGACAGATGTTGCTGTGTCAGATGTTGCTGTGTCAGACAGATGTTACTATGTCAGACACATGTTGCTGTATCAGACAGATGTTGCTATGAAAGTTAAGACACTTGTGCAACATCTGGTTATCTTAATCTCTACAACCACGGTGCTGCAAACACCAACTCCAAGGCTGAGGGACTGATTACCTCATCTTTTGTACACAGTTCTTCAGTTTTCTACTTATGTCCAGGAATCTGTATTGATAAAGCAACTGGATGGCGAAACGTCTACAATAAAGATAACCAGATGTTGCACAAGTGTCTTAACTTTCATCTTGTCGGTATTTGTATACCTGTCTTGCACAGATGTTGCTATGTCTGACAGATGTTGCTATGTCAGATACATGTTGCTATATCAGACAGATGTTGCTATGTCTGACAGATATTGCTAAGTCAGACACATGTTGCTGTATCAGACAGGTGTTGCAATGTCTGACAGAATTTGAATAAATGCTTTATAAAAACCAAGATGTGGATAAATAAGATACTTATGCAACATTTAGATATCTTGATAGGCATTAAAACACCATAGGAACCAAAACAGCGCTTGTACTACGCCACTATAAGCGCTAAAAAACACGCTGAAAAATTATGTAAACAGAAGAGCACTATGAGGCTGAAAACAATTATATATTAAAAATATAAGTTGCCACTGGTTCTAGACTCCAAAGAACCAGAACATCAGGTTCCAAAACTCGTCAAGAACCCTAGCATCCTAAATACAATAAAACCGTGGGTACCAGAATGCAACCGGGAAATTGGAATCCAAAAACCATTGGTTCTAAACACAATGAGAACAGTTAGAAACTAAAAACCACAAGAGCAAGAACAAGCATCGGAACACCATAGGCACCAGAATGACAGTACGAGAGATCAAACCACGATACGGGTGGGGATCGAACTCAAGGCGAGTCATAAAACTTCAGCCCTCGAGTTCGATCCCCACCCGTATCGTAGATTGTTCCCAGTTGTGTTATTACGATTACAATAGATCGATTGAGGTAGGAATAATGATTCTCTAGCTATACTAGTCTAAGTTGGAACTCTCGTTGTTGTTTCAGCGTTCCAGTGCTCGAGGCAAGTGCCAGAGTGCCAGTGCCACCACCTGGAGGCTGACTGTTCAGGACTCAACCTAAAGAACTTCCCAGACATCGAGGACAACATCAACCGCCTGTGAGTACTAACCTGGGAGCAACAGGGAGGGAAGGAGATGGCGATACAGATGATAGTAATGGTGATGAAGGTACATTAGTTTAAGAGAGCTCAAGTAATTTGAAAACTCTCACCACAGACATTATTTTCTTTGTACAAGAATGGTATACAATACCGACAAGATGAAGATTTAGACACAGGTGCAACATCTGGGTATCTTTATTGTAGACGTTTCGCTATCCAGTGGCTTAATCAAATTCAAATTCAAAGTTTATTCTCTATAAGGATTACAATGCTGAGTTTACAGAATTTGGTTATTGTGTGGTTTACATGTAGTAAAATAATAATTACAGAGTGTACCACTAGAACACCTAGCATGGCTAGGTATTACAGAGTGTACCACTAGAACGCCTAGCATAGCTAGGTATTACAGAGTGTACCACTAGAACACCTAGCATGGCTAGGCATTTCGGGCAGACTTAGTTTAAATCTTAATTTTAAAATATTACAAATTATGAGGTAAGTTGGTATTATGGCTAAGTGACTAAATACTACTAGTGTTTGTGAGTTTAGCAATGTGAATGCTTTTGTTTTGGCACTATACATAGTTTCAGTATTGGAGTATCACAGGCCAACTTATGACTAGTTAAGATACATTATTTTAAGATTGAGATTAATATTTCTGTTCATGGTCAAATGAGTGAGTGAGTGTAAGTGTGAACCACCAGGTGGTATTCGTGTAGTTAGTTGACGGGGTGTATCAGGGAGATAAGATGTTTTCTAATGGTAGTTTTGAAGGTGATGAATGTGTCTGCAGTTTTAGAATTTTCAGGTAGGGTGTTCCAGATTTTAGGGCCTTTGACATACATTAAATTTTTGTAAAGGTTTAGTCGAACACGGGGAATGTCATAGAGATGTTTGTGTCTGGTGTTGTGCCTGTGGGTTCTGTCACAACTATCAAGAAAGTGTTTTAGGTCAAGGTTAATATTGGAATTTAAGGTCCTGTAGATGTAGATTGCACAGTAGTAAGTGTGGATGTTCTGAACAGGGAGTAAGTTTAGATCTATGAAGAGTGGGGGGGGGGGTGTTGCCAGGGATGGGATTTAGTGATTATTCTTACTGCAGCTTTTTGTTGGGTTATTATTGGCTTTAGGTGTGTTGCTGCAGTTGAACCCCAAGCACAGATAGCATAGGTGAGGTATGGATATATAAGTGAATGGTATAGTGTGAGAAGGGCAGTTTGCGGCACGTAGTATCGTATCTTGGAGAGGATCCCAACCGTTTTGGATACTTTTTTGGTTATGTGTTGTATATGGGTGCTGAAGTTCAGGTTGTTGTCGAGGTATAGGCCTAGGAATTTGCCCTCATTATGCCTGGCAATTAGAGTGTTGTCGATCTTAATGTTAATTTGCGCATCTCCTGCTCTGCTACCAAACATAATATAGTAGGTTTTGTCAGTGTTAAGCGTAAGTTTATTGGCTGTCATCCAAGTCGATATTTTGATCAGCTTCTCGTTAACAATGGTGTTGAGGGTGGCAAGATTAGGGTGAGAGATGACATAAGTCGTGTCGTCAGGTGTTGGGATACGTTTGGAAGATCATTGATGTATATGAGGAACAGCAGGGCACCAAGGACACTTCCCTGCGGAACTCCAGTATCAAGTGGCCGTGTTGCTGATGCTGTGTCTTTAATGGTGACGTACTGATACCTATTAGTAAGGTAAGATTTGAAATATGCAAGCGCATGGCCTCTTATACCATAATGGTCAAGTTTGTGGAGTAGGATGCCGTGGTCTACTGTGTCAAAAGCTTTTCTTAGGTCAATAAAAATTCCTAGTGGATATTCCTTATTTTCCAATGCTGTGTAAAGCAGATCTAGCATTTTTATGATTGCATCATTAGTGCTTTTATTTTTCCTGAATCCAAATTGGCAGGGGTTGAGTATGTTTTGTGTCGTTATAAATGAATATAGTCTCCTGTGCACGAGTTTCTCAAAGATTTTGGATAACAATGGTAAGTTTGATATTGGCCTATAGTTGTTTAAATTCTAGGACATAATTTGAAGACAGTAGAACTATATACAAAATATGAGGTAATCAATCCCTCAGCCTTGGAGTTGGTGTGAAGATCACGGTGGTCGTGAAGATTCTGGATCAGAGGCAAGAAGGCTGGTGCTTATATACTAACATCAGGTGGAAAGGGGACGGGTAGCAGACGAGGGTATAGTCACTGGTAGGCGAAATGAAAAAATCAGTGTTACAAACTAACAATACCACTGGAGACAGTAAACAGGGGGATGCCCAGCGAAACAGTGAAGATAAAATTCCAGAACTAACTCGCACCATTGATAGTAAAAGTGTTGAAGATAGTAATGAGATAGGAAAACACGCAGTAGGGAATGCAGTCACAAAAAAACAGGGCAAACAGAAACCAGGCCTATGCGAATCCTATGCATTAGGTATCTGCAGGCATGGAATACCTGATAAACCGATGGGACATGCAACTTTGACCACCCCAGAAAATGCCGTGACCATATGACAACAGGAAAATGCAACCTTCCTTCCTGTAAGCTTTTCCACCCCGAAATGTGTCACCCTTCACTTCAGGAGAGACAATATTATAACATATTGTCAGGCACACCACATAAAAGGGACAAAAAGACAGAACATCCAGACCTGGGTAGCCACAAACACTCCAGAGAGAGGTTTTTTTTAGCGCCAGGAAGGAAAAAAAGCTGGCAGGAAATGACAGAAATTGTACACCAACTCCAGTCATTTCTGGAGTGGAATCACAGTCGATGGCCTCCACTCCATGATGATGATAATCAGGGGGGAAGCGCTAAACCTGTAGGATCATACAGCGCTTGTGGAGGGGGGGATGTGGAAGGAATTCAGGATTAATTCGGGGAAGTGGAGCACAGATCCAATTCCCTAGATCAAGAGTCCCCTCACCAGCATCAAGGAACCTTCCTCGAAGGGCCTCCACTCCAAAACAACAGATATTAGTGCCAGCAAAAAAAAACCCTCCCCCATACCACAAATACCACCAATCCAAAGACATTCTTCTCTGCAAATATACAGTGTTTAAAGCCAGCAACGACCAACAAAATACCTTTCATCCGTGGACTGCTTACAGAGTCAAATGCAATGTTCGCGGTTTTCACAGAGACCCACATAAAGGATCACTTATGCCAAATCAAAGTCGAGAACAACATCCAGTATTGGGCCCCTACTTAGACGAGATAGGTCCTACACAGATGACAGCAAGGAAATGAGTCGAAAATCTAAATGATTTTTTTACGAGAGACAATTTGGCAAACTCGAACCAATCTGATATTACCGTGACGCCAATTGACTTCGAAAAGGCGATAAATGACATGCCCATGCACAGTGCCCCAGGGCCACACTCATGGAACTACGTGTTCATCAAGAACTGCAAGAAACCTCTATCATGTGCTTTTAACATCCTATGGAGAGGGAACATGGACACGAGGGTCGTCCCACAGTTATTAAAAACAACAGACATAGTCCCACTCCACAAAGGTGGCAGCAAAGCAATAGCAAAGAACTACGGACCGATAGCACTAACATCCCATATCATAAAAATCTTTGAAAGGGTCCTAAGAAGCAAGATCACCGCCCATCTAGAAACCCATCAATTACACAACCCAGGGCAACATGGGTTTAGAACAGGTCGCTCCTGTCTGTCTCAACTATTGGATCACTACGACAAGGTCCTAGATGTTATAGAGGATAAACAAAACACAGATGTAATATTTACCTGGAGTTTACCTGGAGAGAGTTCCGGGGGTCAACGCCCCCGCGGCCCAGTCTGTGACCAGGCCTCCTGGTGGATCAGAGCCTGATCAACCAGGCTGTTACGGCTGGCTGCACGCAAACCAACGTACGAGCCACAGCCCGGCTTCGACGGCTTCGACAAGTGTGACCATGGCGTAATAGCGCACAAAATGCGTGATAAAGGAATAACAGGAAGAGTTGGTAGATGGATTTATAATTTCCTCACTAACAGAACACATAGTAGTAGTAGTCAACAGAGTAAAGTCCGAGGCAGCTACGGTGAAAAGCTCTGTTCCACAGGCACAGTACTCGCTCCCATCTTGTTCCTCATCCTCATATCTGACATAGACAAGGATGTCAGCCACAGCACCGTGTCTTCCTTTGCAGACGACACCCGAATCTGCATGACAGTGTCTTCCATTGCAGACACTGCAAGGCTCCAGGCGGACATCAACCAAATCTTTCAGTGGGCTGCAGAAAACAAAACGAAGTTCAATGATGAGAAATTTCAATTTCTCCGATATGGAAAGCGTGAAGAAATTAAAACTTCATCAGAGTATAATACAAATTCTAACCACACAATAGAGTGATAAAATAACGTCAAAGACCTGGGAGTGATCATGTCGGAGGATCTCACCTTCAAGGACCATAACATTGTATCAATCACATCTGCTAGAAAAATGACAGGATGGATAATGAAAACCTTCAAAACTAGGGATGCCAAGCCCATGATGACACTCTTCAGGTCACTTGTTCTATCTAGGCTGGAATATTGCTGCACTCTAACAGCACCTTTCAAAGCAGGTGAAATTGCTGACCTAGAAAATGTACAGAGAACCTTCACGGCGCGCATAACGGAGATAAAACACCTCAATTACTGGGAGCGCTTGAGGTTCCTGAACCTGTATTCCCTGGAACGCAGGCGGGAGAGATACATGATTATATACACCTGGAAAATCCTAGAGGGACTAGTACCAAACTTGCACACGAAAATCACTCACTACGAAAGCAAAAGACTTGGCAGACGATGCACCATCCCCCCAATGAAAAGCAGGGGTGTCACTAGCACGTTAAGAGACCATACAATAAGTGTCAGGGGCCCGAGACTGTTCAACTGCCTCCCAGCATACATAAGGGGGATTACCAATAGACCCCTGACTGTCTTCAAGAAGATACTGGACAAGCACCAAAAGTCAATACCTGACCAGGCGGGCTGTAGTTCCTA